AGACTAGGAGTGAGCTCTGCTAATGTGTCCCTTCCCTGTGCCACCATAAACTTGCATCTACTGGTAGCTATCTGGTGGCAGTTTTTTGGGGAAAGGAGCATAACATTAGCATGGTGGGAAAGGGATGACTTAAATCACCAATCCCTCATTTATGACTTAGTTATTCTGACAAATTCTGCCAGCTGTACTCTTGGTAGCAGAAGCAGCATAGGAAGGCTTGTGGGATTTCTAGCTATGTGGAAGCACTGGAAGATGACAACAGGAAATTATATGGTCCTCTGTAGTTGTGAGTCCTGTACTTTCTCCTGGTGTGAATTATCAGTGTCCCAAGGTGAACTATGAATGTCTCTTTTTATCTTCCAAACAATTGAACACTCGGTTCCAGACTTACTCTTTCTCTGTGCTTCAGAGTTTCTCTAAAGGAGAACTAGTCTGTTGTTTCCAATAAAATAGCTTCCTACACTTCTTATGTAATCTGAGGGTCCATGCTGAGTATGTTAAATGTCTGTGGAATATGCATTCTGCTCCATCAAATTAGAATTTTAGCTTTGAGGCTTTAAAAAAAAGCAAACAGAAATTACAAAAGAGGTCATTCTGTGGACTTCATAAATACCACTCTGGTAACTTGAAAGAAATATAGCAGCCAACCCAGCAGACTTCAGACTGAAATGGTTGAGTGTATTTTTCATGTTTTTGCACACATAATGGAACAAAGTGTTCTACAATGCGGCCCATCTCAGATGCTGCGACTGTACAGGGAGTGGGAGGCATCTTTCACTGCTTCACTTTGCCCTGCTGGGAAAAGAGTGTTCCTGTTCAGGCTGATTTTGTCCCTTCAGAGGGACATCTAACTGAGTGAAGGTGTAATTTCACGAAGTCTTGCTGTTGTAATAGCTCTGCTTTTATACACCTACACAGTTCAAGAGAAAGTATTTTGTTTTGTTCCTCAAGGCTCCCACCTTTTCATAGCTCTGCAATATTTTACTTTCCCACTGTCAGGAAACAAAAGGAAATCAGGCACCTTGATGACAATCAGTAGATAAAATAAGACCTCATCCAAGTAATCATTCTTCCTGTGAGGCTTGTCATTCCATTTCCAAAGGCTTTTAATGAGTGAAAGGAAGAGAATGCAGAGGCCTAAAGCTAGAAGCAAAATACTAAATTTTGATGCAAAAGTAAGGAGACTCAGCTGTCTGCCAGGAAGCAGAAGGGAAATTAAGGTGCTTCTGAAAAGCCAGTGTACAATTACATGCCCTTAGGAAGCAGGGGGAGTGGGGATGAATCCATTATATTAAATGTGCTATTTACACCACTATTCTCTTAAAAGTCAGTTGTTTTAGAGGTAGCTGTAGAGGTGGAATATTTTTTCAACTGGAAATTATGGGACTAAATCCATTGGTAGGTTGAAATAAGAACAGTATTGTCAGCATTCACTTCAAATAGTTCATTGCCCCATAGCTTGTGTGTTCCATAAAGGGTAGATAGAGCCTTCTCAGCCCTGCTAATGTGGTCCCTGAAGGTTCATTCTGGAGGAATAGGGTAATTGGATAGCTCTTAAGAGCTACTGCTGAAAAACACTGGAGCAGTACTTTACCTCTTGAATAAGCTCAGTGTTCCCTGAGAAGTTGCTAGAAGTGGGTTTTGAATTGCATGCATGAAAGCTAAATGAAGATTTAAAGTTTTTGCTCTATTGGTGTTCAAGTTCTAATCACTGTCTGGTATGTTTGAACTCCTTTCAGTGGACTTTAGGAATAAATGTACCTGATGGCAGGTGACTAGCCTTGTTTATGTTACTGACTGCTCCTTGTGGTTCCTTTTTCTCCCCTTCTCAGGCTCATGTGGCAGCTGTTACGCCTTTTCCTCCATGGGCATGCTGGAAGCAAGGATACGTATCCTCACAAACAACACTCAGAAACCAGTCTTCAGTCCCCAGCAGGTTGTGTCTTGCAGCCGGTATTCTCAGGGTAAGGATGATGGTGTATATAAAACCACCTTTCAAGTAATGATAATGTTGGAGGAGGAGACTAGTTTGAAAACTTCCATCCCTTCCCAATCACACACAAGTTACTTTTCATAAAGTATTTGGCAAGCTATACTTTAGTAATTTATTTGAAATTAAAAAATAACAAAAAATAGTGTCCAGCCCACATCCCACCAGAGCAATGGGATTGAACAAGGAGAAGTCGCTGTTATGCTCAGGCTGATACTGGATTTTACATCTACCTGGGAGATGGGAAATATCTAAGGAGTAGGGCTCCTTAGCTGATTACAATGTTTACCTGGAAAGAATGGAACTAAATATTCTCCCAGTAGCATTTTCAGAGGGAGTGGGAAATGAGCAAAAGCAATGACTAGAGCTTTCTACAGGACTGTATTCTTGTTAGGACAGATCCTTGTACGGCAGGGAAAGAACAGAAACAAAGAAGAGAAAGCTCTTCTTTCTGACAGGGGTTTTCAGGAGCAATTGGATGAGAAAGGGTCCAAGTATTAGTCTGCCCAGTATAGCTCCCACAGATAGGAATTTTGCCCTGAGTGTTTCAGAAAGCTTACTGAAGCTAACTGGAGTTTTAGGATGATCTGGGTCTCTCATGTGTGTTCAATACTGTATCTGAAAGAATTATGAAAGATTTAAGTGGGAGAGTCTCCCACCTCAAATAACAGAATTTTCAAGGGAAGAAGCACTTTTTTGGTTTTTTTTTTTGTTTTGTTTTTGTTTGTTTGTTTTTGTTTTGTTTTTTTTTTTGTTAAGGCTGTGATGGTGGCTTCCCATATCTCATTGGTGGAAAGTATGTCCAGGACTTTGGTGTGGTGGAAGAGGACTGCTTCCCTTACACAGCCCAAGACTCTCCGTGCCTTTTCAAGCGCAGCTGTTACCACTACTACACGTCTGAGTACCACTATGTTGGTGGTTTCTATGGAGGCTGCAATGAAGCCCTGATGAAACTTGAGCTTGTTCATCATGGCCCAATGGCCGTTGCCTTTGAGGTTTATAATGATTTCATGCTTTATAAAGAGGGGATCTACCATCACACTGGGCTGCAGGATGATTTAAATCCTTTTGAATTGACCAATCATGCTGTCTTACTGGTGGGCTATGGTAAAGACCCAGAAAGTGGTGAGAAATTCTGGATTGTGAAGAACAGCTGGGGCACCTCATGGGGAGAAGATGGCTACTTCAGAATCCGCCGTGGCACTGATGAATGTGCAATTGAAAGCATTGCAGTGGCTGCAACTCCTATTCCAAAGTTATAATGTAAAGGTCGTCATCCAGTGCCTTGTCCTGAGCCATAGGAATGCAGTGATGGTTGAAGATTCTGGTTAAAATCTGTTCCCTGGCTTGAAAAGGCAGCTTTAAGGAATTTTTCCACAATAGAGCAGTTTCCATATGTGAGAAGTTGTTAAATCTGCTCTGTGCACTGGAGGCTTCCTCTCAAGTCTGACAGTAGATCACCCAGAAGGGCTATGTGGTGATTCGTTACTCCTAATTGGATATATCTTCAATTACCAGTTGCATTTTTTTCCTTGTGCAATCTTGACCTTCAGATCTCAGAGGGAAGTGTATGCTATGATAATCTGTAACTGCTTTGAAGGGATGCTGTAGTGCCTTACTTCTCAAAAATCAGGAACTCACTGCAATTTGGAACATAAATGTCTACTGGGGAGGGAATGAGCAATTATGCCGATGAAAATAAAATTCTAAAGCTCTAAGTGTCCTGTGAAAACTCCATGTCAAATCCTTATGACAATAAAAATCAATTCTATGTTTCAGGCTGTTACTGAATGTTCTAGTCCTGGATTTTATTGCTGTGCTTCACTATTGATCATTTCAGAGTTCAGTAAAAAACACCCCACTCCTGCAGGAGTTTCTATTTGTGGAAGAAGTTCGTTCTTTTGGTGATCTCCCTATGAGTTTTGAGCTTCCTGTCAAGAACTTTTTACTTCATCAGAATCTAAAGTGGTGGGAAAGAAAGATGAGAGGGCAGAAGAGCTAATAATCTTGCATCTGAAGATGAGATTATCACAGCACATCAAGCAAGTTGTCCAGAAGTGCAGTAGCCCTTGCTGAGGATGTAGAACAATTCATTGAGTAAATTTGCGAATTCCCCAGTAATCCTGTTTAAATCCTTTCTGTTAATCTGTTGCTCTATTTCTTTCAAATATACAAGATAGAAACATAGGGTGGGGAGGAGGGATTGCAACACTTGGAATTAACCATTTCTCAGCTGCAACACAGGACTTTGTTAGAGCAGCACTGGTCTTTGCTTTTCATCTGAAGAAATAAAAACAGGATAAAGGTGAGTGCCAGTTTCATACATAGAAGGTAACTTCTTTAGTAACCTATTAAAATGTGACCAAAGTTACTTGGTATTTTTCTGTGTGAAATACAGCCTCATGGGTGGTTTTTCTAGGTGTAGAGAAATTCATAAAATGCAGAAAAATGGAACAGATGTCTGTAATCAAACTATTCTATTTAACTTAGAAAGGAAAACTCACTTTTTACTTCAGTAGCAGAATTCCACAAGAAATCCTGGATTCTAGTTTGCTCAAGTTGAGGGGCAGGGAAAGGAGAGCTTCATGGTTTTTTCAATCCCCTTCTATTAAGCCTGGTCCATGGCAAGTTGAACATGATTCTGCAGTGCCCTTCGAGTCAGGAAGGGTTCTAGGGTGCATCAGTCATAGCATGGCCAGCCAGGCAAGGGGAGGGGATTGTCCTGCTCTGCTCTGCATTGGGGTGGCCTCACCTGGAGTGCTGGGGCAGTTTTCAGTGCCAAAATATAAAAAAGACATTAGACTATTAGAGAGTGCCCAAAGGAGGACCACAAGGTGGTGAGGGGGCTTAAGGAGAAGCCATGTGAGGAGTGGCTGGGGTCACTTGGTCTGTTCAGCCTGGAGGAGACTGAGGGGAGACCTCACTGCAGTCTGTGACTTCCTTGTGAGGGGAAGAAGTGGGGCAGGCACTGATCTCTTCTCTGGTGACAGGACCCAAGGGAATGGCCTGAAGCTGTGTCAGGGGAGGTTTAGGCTGGATATCAGGAAAAGGTTCTTCATCCAGGGGGTGGCTGGGCACTGAACAGGCTCCTCAGAGAAGTGGTCACAGCCCCAAACCTGACTGATTTTTAGAAGAAGTGCTTGGACAGCACATGGTGTGACTCTTGGGGATGTCCTGTGCAGGGCCAGGAGTTGGGCTCAGTGATCCTTGTGGGTCCCTTCTGACTCACATTGTTCATATTATTCTGTGATTCTGTGCAGATGTGTTTGGAAATTTAGAACTTGTGTTTTGCCAGAAGTGGAACAAGGACTTCTGAAATAGGTCATAGTGTGCATTGGATTTGGCTTAGGGAGTTGGGGGGTGGGAGAGGAGCTAGATTCCTGGATTTTTTTAATAGCTGAAGTAATGAGATTAGTTTGAGAATAAGAATATAAAAGCTAGATATCTTTTTGCTATCTTTCAGCCATTAGGAAATTGATTCCTTACCACCAAACTGTTGCTGACACTCATGGCGCTACAAATACAAAAACACTTGCTATTCACCATGTGTTGTATCATGTTAGCTACATGTGTTTTAAATAGCACTTTGTTATTTTCTTAGCAATTCCTTCGTCTGTCTGTCACTGCTTGTGTGTGGCAGCTGCACAGGTGCTAATAGGAACATGGGCATGTTCTTAGAGTGGTCTGTCACTGTCACTGCCCCCAGTGACTGTCACCAGACGTTTGCCTCTGGCTGACTGCAGTGTGTGAATGTCCCTGTTTTCTGTATTCCAGAGTTGCACAGAAGAATGTCAGTCAGCCTGATGGAGCTGGTATGTGGATGTAGATTGTTTATGTGGCTTCTTCCAATAATGCATTAGCTGGAATGGAGAGCATGCTATCACTCAGGAGAATAATTGTAGGGTTGGCAGATATGTCTTGTAGCGAACGTGTAAAGCCCTAATACATTAGACTTATCATGGAAGGTTAATAGATAATGTCATGACTGATAAATACTTTCATGGGAAATAAAGCTTATCATCAGCCTAGCAAACAGAGATATTAAAAGTTTTGTGTTTTGAAAAGTAGTACATACAGCAGACAAGAAAGTTACATCTCTTTAAAAGTCAAAATCCTTAAAAAAATTTAAGAGCTGTGGTGGAGTCTCCATCACTGGGGTGGGATGATTTTTCAGTCTGAGGACTGCCCCTGACACTAGAATTGCTCAGAGACTCATCCAATTCGTTTATGAAGGAGACTCGGCAGAGTCATCATGGCTCCTTCTTGCTCTGTGACCTGAGGACCTAAAACAGAAGGTGATAATTTAACTTGAAAAGTTGTCAGTCTAACTTTGAAGTGTAAATAAAATTCATATAAAACAAAAGCAGGGATTTTTTTTCTAGATTTGTTCAAACTGATTAATTTAGGACTGAGTAATTTTAAAGTTGTGTTGTTCCAGGGGTCTTGGGAAGACAGGAAAACCAGTGCACCAATGGAGTTTATTAAAACAGCAAGCTCAGGACAATATTATAGCTTGATAGCTTCTTTCCCTTTTTTTTTTTTTTTTTTTTTAATGACTTACACTTTATCTATTGCTTTCTTATCCATTGCTGGATCTTGAAAACTAGCTTTAAAATTGAGTTAAGAAAACATTAGACTACTTTTGAGAGTTCTAACATCAGACTTCCTATGACCTCTGAAAATGCTAAGATATATTTCTAAAGTACTTTGAGGTATGATTAAAACAAGGCTGTAGGTAAGTCTAGAGGTATTGTTAATGGAACATTTCCAAGGATGTCAAATGCAGAATTTTGAAAAGCATTTTTTCCTCAATTTTTGTATTTTAATAAGGCAAAATGCTGAGTGAGGGGTGTTACTTATTTTAGAGTACAAAAAGGAAGGTGGACTAAGGAAGCATTTTCTCAGTGGTTTCAGTCTACAAAAGAGCATCTTTTACCAAGAATTTCATTTTTCAGTTTTTCATTCTTCACTTTTAGGAAAAGAAAATCATCATAGCATGGGTTTTTTTCCCCCCCATCAAATTACTAATTTATTCAGAAAAGCTATTTCTGGTATGTGTTAAAAATCCTGTTAAAACATCAAAGCCATGACTGATTTTACTCTCACCTGACTGAGTGGGACTTAACTCTGCTCTAGACAACCTGCAGGGATAGAGCTGACTGATACCACTGGAACTGTGTCACTTTGGGTTGGTGTAGTCTCCACAGTGCAATGAAGAGTGTGATATAATTCCAGGAGCCTCTCAGGGATGTGGTGCAGCAGTAGGTGAGGAGGGGAGTTTGGGGGGAGTTTTCCCAGCTCTGCTGGTGACTGTGGGAACTCCAGGGCATTGCAAGAGTGGGGCATAGACATCTGGGGGGCATTCAGGCTGTGCGGAGGGGGTCTGTTCTGGGTGTCTGGCAACACAGCCTTACCAATGCTCTCATTTGCACCATGAGAGCAAAATAGTGCTTGAGTTGTAAAATAAAATGTTAGTGAGGTCCAAAGGCCTGTGGATGTGAACAATCTTGTACCCAGACCAATTAATGGCTAACTCTCATTTTCCTTACTGCAGTATCAAGTTACTTTAAAAGCAGTGTATTTCAGTTTGGACCTTGACTTTGAAATCTTGAGGAAGAGGCTAAGCATATTTAAAAGAAAACACAAGTCCTTTCCATATCCTGAACAATATGGACAGCATGTCATAAACAAACAAAAGGTGAAAGCTTTGACTGCAGTATAACATAGCATACTTGACTACCCCTTCTGAACAGTGAGTTTTTAGTGAAATGTCTCGGTTTCACTGAGAGCCAGAGTATCTTATGTGCTGAGGAGAAGGTTTTGGAGACTACAATTCAAGCAGGCTGAAATTTCTCTGCTGGTTACTATGGCTTCTGGATGTGCTGTTGGCTGAAGTAGTGTGTGCATGTGTATCTGTATGTTTAGGTTTCCAAAAAAGCATTTAATGGCAGTAAAATTATATTAGTAACCTGAAACTTCAGGAGGTGGTCAGGTTCAGGACATTAACAGAGCATCAATTTTTATCAGTTCCCTCTGAATGACAGGTGGTGCAGGAGGAGAAGAGGTTGAAGCCTTTCTTTATAGCCTATGTGCATATGCAAATTTTTCTGTCTGTAATAGGAAAGGCACTGACAAGTACTCCTACCAATTACTCCTAATTGTTTCATTTGGATCAGCTGGATTGATCCAACAGATGCTATTTAGCATGAGATGCACAAGCTAAATTAAACTCTCTCTGTCATTTGACTAGGCTGATAGTTAAACTCACTCCTCTTCAAGCACATTTTGCTATTTGCACTGTAAGATATTTGTGCATATTTATGCCTGAAGTGATCCTTGGGACCTCTGACTTACCTCATTAAATAAAGAATACTTTTAGGGGCTGTGTAGAAGGGCTGATATCACTTTAGCAATATGACAGGTGATACATTGTAAGTATTATCATAATCACCAAAGATATTAAAATGGATGTCTTCCCCCTAGGAGGATTTCAGAATCTTGAAAAACATTGAATATTCTTAAATGCCCAGCAGTTCCAAACTTGACATTCTTTGTGTTAGATGGGAAAAACTTCCCAAAACCATTAAGTAACTGTACAGAACCTTTATAATTATATTTGGCAAAGGATAGATAAGGATACAGTATTTGGATTTTTTAAAACTTCATTTAATTAACTTTTCTATTATTTAATACTTGTAACACTAATATAAAATGATGACCCCTTCTATCATTCTGTTTAGCATTTCACGGGATTAAACAGGATTTTTGGTCTGGACTATACAATGGGATTCCTTAAGGTTTTTCTTCTCATTAGCACTGATGACTGAAGGAAGCTGAATATCTCAGAAGGCAAATCGTCCTGAAAGCACACAGTCCATGGCCTCTGGGAGACCATTACTTCACTTGGGAATGGTGATGACCAAACCAACTGTCTCTTGACTTTTGACTCTGTACTCTGCTCTCGGTCTGACTGTGCCACTTCTTGCTCCCAGACCTATCTCCGCACCACAGTTCAGGAAAATGTGGAGCCTGCTTAAAATCCTGATCCTCTTTTGGGACTCTCTCACTTCTCCCTGTGGGTGTTTAGGCATAAAGAGGAATACTCCAAAAGCTTGACGTTTGGGTGACTAAGTCTGTAGTCTGTAGTATATTTTGCTTTCATAAAGATTTCCTTCTAAATCTCATATGTTAGCAAGGCTGCTGAGTTTCATTACTCAGTTACATTTCTCTCTGCTTTTCTGAAACCCTCTATTAACCTTGGGATTATATTTAAATTTAATTTTCAGGTTTAAATTTCAGCAGGATAATACCTGTGTCCAGTTGTGGGAGGGGGAAAAATCAATTACAACAAATAGACTAAAATGCCAAATCTAATACATAAAACTCAGCAGTGGGATGATGAAATATAAGCGATGAAATGTTCTTTTTGCAGAACACACCTATTTTCTATATTTACTGCCTTGAGGAAAAGTGGAAATAGGATGATTGCATTTTCCTGATTGTTGGGGGCTGATTTTTAAGCTGTAACATTGAAAGGATAACTTTCCTTTTCTTCTTTTAATTGAAGAGACTGGCAAACCAGACCTTGAGCTCCATCTTATCCTTTAGGATTGTAGAAGTTTGTAATAGCAGCATTAAAACTTCTCCAAATGGAAAACAAATGGGACCATCAGGGTGTGGAAGAACCAGGAGGGATAACAGGAGATGAGCTATAGGAAAAGCAGATGCTGATTATGGACACCCATAACAGGAAACAAGATGAAACAAAATAAAGCAAGGGGCATCCTAAAAAAACAGACAATCTAAAGAAAAAGAAAATATTCAATGATTTGGTCTGGTAGGGACCTAAAAGATCCAACTCCCTCTCCTCCCTCCTTAAGCTTGTATGCCACAAGCTATCCCAGGTTGCACATCCAACCTGGCCTTGAACATTTCCAGGGATATGGGACATCCACAACTTCCCTGGACAAGATGTGCCAGTGCCTCACCACTCTCACAGGAAAGAATATCCAATCTAAATCTCTTTTTAATTTAAAACCCTTGTCCTAGCACTATTTACCCATGAAAAAGCCCTTCTCCCTCTTTTTTATAAGGCCACTTTATGTACTGGAAGGCTGCAGTAAAGTCTCCCCAAAGTTTTCTCTTCCCCAGGCTGAACAACCCCAGCTCTCTTAGCCTGTCTTTGTAGGAGGTGCTTGAGACCCCGATCCTCTCTGTGGCCTCCTCTAGGCTCACTTCAAGACATCATCCTCATGTTGAGGACTCCAGAACTGGACACAGTGATCCAGGTGGAATCTCTCAAGGGCAGAGTAGAGAGACAGAATCCTCTCCCTTGCCCTGCTGGCCGTGCAGCCCTGGACATGGTTAGCTTTCTGCACTGTGAGCACACATTGCCAGGTTATGTCCAGCTTTTCATACATGGCAACCCCTAAATGCCAGTAAGAAGGACAAACCCTCTTCAGCAGCTTCCAGGTAAAAAGACTAGATAAGCAAGACCTAATGCTTCATGAAAGTGGAACCGATATGAAGCAGTACAAGACTCTCCAAAAGCAGCACCTGAAGGCTAACCTAGGGATGAGGAGATGGTGGGGGCTGATAAGCTGGCATCCATTTCATTGCTGCAAGAAAACTTGGCCAAAGCACTGTGATATATGTGGGTATAGGTAAGTCAGATAATTTAACACAGAGCATGGCACTTGTAAGAAGGTGGGTGTCAGAGTGTTGATGTATGTTTTAAAATATAATTACTTGCCCCTTCTATAGGTGTTGGATTGAATTTTGCTGCACTGCTGCTAGTGAGAAGCAATGTTAATTACCACAAAATCTCTGGCTTAAGAGTTCAACTACAGGTCTCCAAGTATAGTTCCCTGCCTCACTGTTAATTTGTGTGCTGTCCTGAACCCATGAATAATCACATATGTCAAAGCTCATGTTTACCCTCTAATTTGTTTACATCCTTCCCTGCTATCCCACTTACACAAAGAAAAAAAATTCTGGCTCTACCAGGAGAGGTGATTGCCCTCTTCTGTTCTGTATCAGGTAAAAAAATCATACCTGAGAGTCTGGTGACACATTGAGAAGGTAGCTGTCTCACTGCTAGGATAACTTCCAGAATGGGTAGGGTTGTTTGGAGTTTATTTTATTTGTTTCTTTGGGTATGTTTTCTTTTTTTGTTTGAAAAGAGTTCTAAAACCAGGATAAAAGTGTTCAAAAAATGTGAGAAAACTTAACCTTCCTGGTATTTCTGAACTACTTAGGGATTTTTTTCTTATTTTGAAATGTATTCATAAAAACTACAAAATGGGAAGATCTGAGAAAAATGCAAAGTTTCAGCTGTTTCGTAACATGCCCTGACATTCCTTTTAGATATATATATAGAAGAAGTATATTCTGTGTATGCATATATACACAAACAAAAAGGACTAGGTTTTCTTTATTTTCTTGAAGTTGAGAACACTGACAAAAATCCCAGTCTGGAAACCCTGAACTGAGATCCACACAATGTTACTTATCCTCCTTATCTCCATTTTTTTTGTTTTTGTTTTTGTCTTTTCTATTGAGATAAGGCTTCCAGGAGCAGGCCTGGCCACCATCCAGGCCTGGAGCAGTGTTCAGCACACAGGAGCCTTTCTTGCTGAGCCCTGAAGCGCTACTCCGATAGCAGGCTAAATAACTAGTAAAAGGTGGAAGGTACCCAAGCCCAGCACTGTCTTTATAAACACCTTTATTGTGTCTTGTGTCTTGAGAGGTTTCTGGAGTGTGTTGGTGATACCCTCCTGTATAGATGAATTGGCTGATGAGGGAAGATGCTCTGCTGGACCACTTAACTTACAAACAAGGCAGTATTGTACAGATGTGTGATAACTGGGGGCAGCTTTGGCTGGCAACCCTGGGAGAGTGGAGTTCAGGATTCTGAGAAGAGGGAAAAAGGCAAAAGTCAAGGTTCAAGCCTTGATTTCAGGAGAACAGATTTCAGCATGATCCTGCTTGGGAAAATCTGGAAGGCCCTGGATGGAAGAGGCATCAAGGAGAGCCAATTGATTTTCAAGAATAACCTCCTCCAAGTTTAAGAATGATCCATCTCCACATGTAGCAAATCAAGCAAAAGCAGCAGGAGGCCTGCAAGGATGAATAAGGAGCTTCTGACTAAACTCAAAAATAAAAAAAGAAATACAGAAAAGAGATGCAAGGGACAGGTGACTGGGGATGGATATATATACACTATCTGAGCCTTGGTAAGATCTGATTATCAAAATGATTAGAGAGATGCCCCTGCCCAAATTAAGGTGCAAATGAAACCATAGACTGAAGTGAATGTATGATTTTATTTAACAGTAAACGTGAGGCAGAGAGAGAAAGAAGTATAAAAAGAGATGAGAAGGGAGAGAGAGTGTCAATCGATTAAGTAGAAAAATGTCACTACTCCATGGATTGCAATGGCATCCCATTGGTCCTCTTCTTGTCTTCCCAATCACAGGGTCCCGCAAAACTCAGATTCAGTGGACTAATATACGTTCAGACCAGGTGGGAGCACCCAGGTTCCTCCCATGGTATCTTCAGAAAGAGAAAGAATGAGAATCAATGGAACTACAGGCTGGTAAGCATCACGTTCATCACAGGAAAGATGATGGAGCAAATCCAACTGGGAGTAGTTTCAAAACACAGGAAAGATAAGAAGGTGACTTGAAGTAGTCAGTGTAGGTTTATCAAGGATATAACATGCCTTACCAAACAGGTAGCCACCTATGATGAAATCACGGGGTGTGAATAAAGGAGAACAGTGGATGATGAGTTCTCTGTCCAGTTCTGGGCTCCCCAGTAAAACAATTGAGGATAACTGAGTCCAGCAAAAGAATACAAAGATTATTAAGAATTTGGACCATCAAGGAGAGACAAGAGAGCTGGGACAGTTAATCTGGAGTAGAGAAGCCTCATGGAGATCTTAAAGAATCTGTAAAGAATACAGAAAAAAATAAAATTCTATTTAAACATTAAGAAAATGCTTTTCATTGTCTGTGTGGTCAAACACTGAAACACATTGCCCAGAGACTGTGAAATCTTCATGCCTGTTTTTACCTCCCCTGCTTTGAGCAGGGTGTAGGGTTCAGTAATCTCCAGAAATTCTTTCCTGCCTCAGTGCTTCTGTGATATTTGAAATGACAATTAATACAATTTACAAAAGAAAATCCTGATGAACTTTTATCAGGTAAAGGTAACATCTTTAGTTGTTTTGTTCCATAGTTCCAATTTACACTAACAAGAGAAATTATATAAGCCAATGCATATTAATTTAGAACCTACTCTTTCAAATTTCCCTCCACATGATGTTGGTGCTTCTGCATGAGCACCATTAAATATTGATAGTCTTCAAGAACCAGACTACATGAATTGGACAAAAGTTTCACCAATGTGATTCAGCCTGTTCTTAAAGGAGATTTTCTCTGTGGAGGATAGGGAAGACTATTCTCTAAATTCTTCCTGTGGGTGTTTCAAATTGACCCTCATGGGAGGGGCATAATGCAGGTTACTGATTATCAGAACTATTCTGGCTGGACTTAGATGTGCCTGTGTGTAACTGGCTCTTATCGCACAAGTATTCTGCAGTACTTGAAGAGTGCTAAAACTGCTGAACTGTCAGTTTGGTCCAGACTTTTGGCCAGCTCTATAGTAGCATTCCTGCAATGAGTGTGATGCTTCCATCTGCAGCCTCAGTGAGTGCTCTTACACTTCACTTATTGAATCTGAGGTACAACAAATTTTGTTTGGAACTGGCACATTTCAGACTTAATCTGTGCTGTATGATGCTTTCACTGCTGTCTGGCCTCGGGGACAAGCCGTTTTACTTTTCCCAGAGTATTACGAACCCCCCTGTTATTAGATTTTATCTTTGGCAGACATTCTGGTCCTCGCCTTATTGCTTTTTGAGTTGCACTGTGTTCATGTATTCCCAGGTGACTGTTCAAATACACTTGGTATAAAATGCACTGCAGTCCATCAAGGATTTTTGCTGCAGACTCCAAAGGATGGACTTTAACTTGGATTTTATTAGGCTGTATGGATCTATATTTTTAAAAAATCCTTGAGAGGGGGAATTATATCAAATTACTATTAATTTTTGAACTTGTTGGAGTAGAAACATGTATTTGCATCTGAGCATTGTCTGTGTTCACACAGGGCAGATGGATATGGAAGCTATGTTGGAATACGCAATAACTAATAAAACTCGGTCCCTTTATTAGACTAAGGGTAGCAATTGTGAGAGAGCCACAAACTCTCAGTCTTTTAACATAATTCATGCACCAGTGGGCTTTTAACTGTGTAGATAAAAACTGTGTGCAGAATGTCAGTGTTTTGTATTTTTTTAAAGTAGGATAAAGAAGGTCTATGATATTGATTTGTATGTATATGTGTATCTATATATGCATACACACAGAGAGATGTGTATTAGCATGTCTCTGGATTATGCTGTCATTTATATCATATTAGGTAAGATGAATATGATGGTGTAGGTCACTCCCTTCAAGATATTCAAAGCTTATAGGTTTAACATTAATAGCTGTGAAAACCCTACATAATTTTAGATGGAAATCTTTTGAATACATACATTTCTAATAATCTGAATTTTGGTCATGAAAATATAAGAAAATATAAGAAAATATATAAAATTATTAGAGACTATCCAAAAGAGGGCAGCAAAGATGGTGCAGGGCCTTGAGGGGAAGCCATAGGAGGAGCAGCTGAGGTCACTTGTTCTGTTCAGCTTGGAGAAGAGACTGGGGAGACCTCAGTGCAGTCTGCAACTTCCTTGTGAGGGAAAGAGGGAGGCAAGTACTGATTTCTCTCTGGTGACTAGCAACAGGACTGGAGAGAATGGCCTGAACTCGTGTCAGGGAAGGTTGAGGCTGAATATTAAGGAAAGGTTCCTCCCCCAGAGGGTGATTGGACACTGAACAGGCTCACCAGGGCCATGCTCACAGCACACAGCACCATCCTGACAGAGTTCACAAAGTGTTTGGACAATGCTCTCAGGCACATGGTGTGACTCTTGGGGATGTCCTGTGCAGGGCCAGGAGCTGAACTTGATGATCCTTGTGGGTCCCTTCTGACTCAGCATCTCCCATGATTCTGTGAATGTTTTGTTGTTTTTTTTTTTTTTTTTTTTTTTTTTTTTTTACAATAACTATTGCTTTGTAGTTTCATTATCTCAGAAAACATTGTCATTTTTAAAAGGTATGTTGGTAACAAATCTGGTGCTCAAGGTTGACATCCATGCTATGAGATAAACCTGGATTTTTTGCATTTTAAAGTCCATTTGTATGAAAAAACAAAGCACAGGCTGCGTGCTGCATTCAGATGGGAGGTGTATGCCACACAAAGACGAGTGGAAGAATCCAAGATGAAGTTATGCTTTCCTTGATTCTTGTCCATATAATTGCATCTTAAATTTTATCTCTTTTCTCAGAAAGAAAGGTCTCTACTAATGACAGAGAAATTGTGAGGAAGTTCTGAAAATTATCACTGTAAAATGTGTTTCACTTTTATCTAGAGCACAACACAGCCTGTAATACCTTAATTTGATGGAATATTAAAAAATGTTATTATTTACAACTGAGATGTATAGATTTATCATAAATTCTGCCAATTAAAATAGAATTTAAATAGACTCTATTAACATTAGTGTAGTATTAAAATAGAATAATGGATAGGCAGAAAACACAAAAATAAACCAGCATAGAGATACGTAATGTCACATGGAATTTCAATTTTTTTTGCAATTATTTTAAAAAGTTTAAAAGGTACATGTATCAGAGAAAACACAGACAAATCAACCAAATTGCTGGCGTGCTTTCACGTTCTTATTGCCTGGACAGCAGCAGAGTAAGAGCTCAGGGGTAACATCTGGTTTACCCAGCCTAACAAGTTAATTTGTGTCAGTTAAGCCCTACTAACCCCCTACCTGTGGGTGGCAAATGCAAGCTGGCATGGTTTATATTACCTGTCCTTAAGTGTGGTCTCAGCTAAGACAGATTTCATTGCATCATCTCCAGGCTCAGTGTGCTTCCCCGGCCACCTCTGCCAGCAGGAGGTTGCTGAGTTGCAGTAACCTGTTTGTGTGCATGAAGGGATCAGCTGGCATCATCAAACAAATCTTGCAGTGATCCTCTAAGCCATAACCAGCCCAAATTATCTGCCTTCTCCCATGACAGTGCTGCAGCAGGGCTGCAAATTAATGATAGATCCAAACCTCCCCACCCCAGTGCCTTCGGACAGCAAGGAGGGCAAACTAATACAGATACATGGTTCCAAAAAGGTGGAGCAAGGCAGGGCATTTCAGGAGCATTTTAGCAGATGGTGCCTATAAAAGCTAGCTCACCATGTAGTCAGGAGATCTGGGTACAGCTTTCACTTAGCAAGTTGCTTCAGTCCATACTTCCCTTTAGGGCAGCGAATCATCCCTCTAACTGCAACAATCCCTCCTCCATGCTCACCCCACATCTGAACACCTCACTGAACATCTCACTGGTAGCTCACCCCACATCTGAACACCTCACTGAACATCTCACTGGTAGCCCTACTGCCAGCCCAGGGTGACCTTGATTAAGCCTGTGAGGAGCTCATTGTACCAGGGTGCTTCTGGGACCAAGAATTTAGCCACATTCAGAGAAGAATTGGATATTTAAACAAGTAGCATGATTATCCAGAGCTATTGTAGCTAATTCTAACAAAAACTTTGGAAAAGAGATAAAGCCTCATTCTTCTGGGTATGCTTCAGCCCCTAACTACACTTACAAATAGCCTAAGACCTCCAGTTACCAAACATCTGCTTTCAGGGACCTTCCCAGCACTGTTCTCTGAGCAACAGCCATCATCAAAGAAGGATGAAACATCAGATGTAATTTAAACCTTATCCAAAACACTAATTTCGTTATTTCTGAAATTGCTAAATCCTCTCAGCCTAATCTTTGTTTAAGCTCTAAAAGGGGAAATCTTCCACTTTAGAGGGTAGAAGTGAATGCTTAGAAGTACTGAAGTATTGGATCCTCTCAGGAAACAGAGGAGCAGTAAAGGGAAGAATTAAAATAGCACACGCTACCAGTAATAACAATAATAAGCTTGAATCATGCAAATTTACTAACTGATAAAACCGGTTGGCCTGTCAAGTTGTTGTCCATAGGGCAAAGCCCTTTAAAATTTCTCTCCAAACAGGATACAAATGACAATTTGTTTTTGGAAAGACAATTTATCTTATTGAAAAAAAATCCTCTTATTTAAAAAAAGGTTCAAGGAAAATAAGATGTTTTTCCTCTCAAGTTACCTATTTTAACTTTGTGTGTTTATGTATATATACACATAAAAACAAAATTAAAATTTGAGTTTAAAGACTGATTACAAAAGATTGCATATTATGAATGTTCTGGATTCTTTGTGTACTAAAATCCAGCTTTTTGGATAGATGACAAAATTGTAATGCCACTTCAGTCCACACTTGGATAAGAACTCCATCAAATGATATTACAATAAGTAAAAAATATGTTTTCATTTTCAAGAACATCAATAAAAATAAAAATTATTCACTGATAAGTTGCACACAATATTAAAATTATGTAGGTTTTCTATCAAAGCTGTTAAAATGATCAAACAACACTAGGTAATGGGTAGAGGTTTCCAGCTAAGATTCCTAGGTAAAGTTCACTGTGCTCTTCGTTCAAAATAAAGGGACAGTCATGTCAGTGGATTGATTTACTCAAATGGGTTGTTGTTTGCAAGTTTGGTATCACTTGTTTTGGAAAACAGATGACTGTTGAGACTTATGTGCTCAAATTCTGTTATGCTTTCATAACTTCTGATTATTGAAGCGATGAGATAAACCTGGATTTTTTGCATTTTAAAGTCCATTTGTATGAAAAAAACAAAGCACAGGCTGCGTGCTGCATTCAGATGGGAGCATGCTTATAGGTATAGAGAGACAATCACAATTATGGTAACAAAATCTAAAAATATGTATCTGCTGTAATTAAATTTGTACAGCCCTCCTAGTAAGGACACAAGTAGAGCTGCTGTATATTTCTATAACTGCCACTTCTACTGATGTAACTGCATTCTCACAAACTTACACAGATTAGAACCAAATTTCATCCCAAGCTGAAGTCACACTGGTTTAATTTTTGCACTAAAGTGCAATTAAAGTGCAATAAAATTTGCACTAAAGAGCAAATATTGAACCTCTGAAGGGAATTTTCAGGGCTTTTTTTTTTTTTTTTTTTCCAGTGACTGGCGTCTTAAAGACATCCGGAAACAAGCATTGGGTGATATATTATTACCAAGGCAGTGATTCAAAATTTACTGTGTGTAAAACTAGTGCACAACAGAAACACTGTCCTTTCAGCAAGGAGCCAAACAGAGTACAGGACTGTTGCATGAATTTTCCTGCAAAGTCTTTAGCAGCCAGACTAATCCCAGGCACACCTCATGCTGACCTTTACACACATACGCACAAAACTTTCTGGAAGACTTCCTTCCCCCAGTCCTTCCTTACTTCATCTCCCAGCAGGGCTGCCTGCTGGACCTGGTGATCCTGCTTCCGTAGGAAGGGAGAGAGCCTCCACCTTCCTTCCCTCCCCAGTCCCTCACCCCCTCTCTTCCCCTCAGGCTGGCAGGATTCCTCGGGCAGAGCATGCAATCAGTTTGCAGGGAGCAGCCGCAGCCACAGGAAAGATGCAGAAGCACAACCAGAAGGAGCACCTCTACAAGCTGCTGGTGATCGGGGACCTGGGAGTGGGCAAAACCAGCATCATCAAGCGCTATGTCCACCAGAACTTCTCCCCCCACTACCGGGCCACCATCGGGGTGGACTTTGCTTTGAAGGTGCTGAACTGGGATGCTGAGACTGTGGTACGGCTGCAGCTCTGGGATATTGCGGGTGAGTACAGAGGAGAACCCTTTGCTCCATAATCTATCGAAGAATAATGCAAAATACAGACCCCAATGCATTTGTACTGGTCTGTAAACTGGGAACCGCCACTGCAGTGAGGGAGGCTAGATTGAGGAGAGAAAACTTTAAGGGCAGCTTGACATTTTGGACATTCCCTAAAACCAGCAGACTCCCAAACTAGGGAAGTCAGCGCATCAGAGTGGAACCTGTGCTAGCTGATTTTTCTCCCCAGCTCTTGCACATATTCAAGGACTCAGGCACCTCTCTCCAAGTGCCCCAGCTGTTTCCCTGCAGCTGGAAATGTTCAGTTTTGCCTCCTTGGACTAATAGATCTCTGTGACAGGAAGAAGAATAAGAATCGTCCTGTTAAATCTTTTTAATTTGATGGAATAGAATATTAATTTTAACATTCAGTAACATTGTTAAAATTAATATTATAGTTTAAAAAATAAAGAAAGCTTATTTCTGAGTTAGTTTATCGAAATACCTTCCTTCTTCCTCTCTCTCATACCTGCCCTCCTTCAGTCCAGTGAAAGCAACTTCTAACTTGTTTTAGGAAGAGAAATGTTTCTATTTGGCATTCTGGTTGTTAAAAATATAATTACTCATATTTAAATACCCTTGTTCCAACATCAAGCAAAACAAAAGACGATTTACTCTCTGAAAGGAGAAAAAGAGTAAGGTAGTCCAGATATCCCCACATGCTTACATCATTAAAACCTACAGAATCTGACATTGTTGCTGACAGTGTTCAGACATTTTCGATTTGGATTCAAATTAAACACAGAACTTTTTTTTGCCACCCCTTTCTGAAAATCAATCATTTTTGTTTCAGTCCACAAAATAAGTTTATCTTGACAGCCTATATCCCATGCTGTAAGTAATAATTTTTCATTTAGTGAATGCAGGAATCAAATACAACTCTAACAATAGATTACAGCATAAGGGATGGCATTAAAAACTCGATTACATTAAGAAGTTACTTTCATTAAATAGGGAATAAAGGTGAACATATCAGCTGTTAGACAACTGTACCAGCCTGTGGCCTGAGTTGTGAGCCCACTCAGGCTCATTGATCTAGTCTGGAACAGCACTGGGTAAAACTGGTGAAAAGAAAAAATTCTTGACATTCTTATTGGTGGAGGGAGTGCTTTTCTGCTGCACTGAGCTGTCTCATGTCTGAGCTCTGAATTTGGCACTGAGGTACTAAAACTTATGCAACAACACTGCTTTATGTAAAGCGTATAAACTCTGCCTTTCCACATGCTAATACAGTTTTCTGGTTTTATGGTTTTAAATACATATATGCTCAGTTTTCTTTATTAAAAGATAGAATAATGGGGAAAACATTTATTTTACTGTTCACTAGTGGCTGATTGTAACAACAAGTACATACACTGCCAGAAAAACATTTCTGCATGAGAAAAAAGCATTTAATAGTAAATTCTGAATGTATCAAGGCCTTAAAGAATGTATTTTGCATGCCTTGTTTCAGAGATTTATTACACTACTAATCATGTGCTGGCGGATCATATGATGTAGCTTTCAGTCAGGCTGCAAAAGCAATTACACCTAGTTGTAGTGCTGAATGACTAGCATGCTTTCTGAGTTATCACACATGACAGAGAGAATTACAGCACAGTACTAAATTTCATATGAATTGCCCAATTCAAAGCATCATTGTGAAGGTCAAGACAGTGGTCAGTAATAAAAAGAGTTGCTGTCTTAGCTTTAATGACTTCTGCTTAAGGAGCTTTAGCTGTTGCTGGCTGTACATAGAGAGCAAGTTCTGCAAGCAACAAGCTGAATTTAGATGATCATGGTGCAGGCATAAAAGTTATCATGCATAAGGCATCCAGCTAGTGAGAGAAAAAGAGGTTCAAAAACAAAAGAGAAGTAAAACTGATTGGAAATATGGAGAGGATGGAATTGGTTTCTCCTGGCTGTGGCTGGTCATGTAACATCATTTGCAAAATACAAATGGGCAATGAGAAGAGGGAGGAAAATAAAATCTCTGGTCTAAGAACATCCTTTCTCTTTTGATGGACTCTCTGTTATCTGGTCAGGTTTATCTTTTGGGATAAGGAAATAAACTTTCAGTCTGTGACCAAGCTGAAGGATATTGGCTTAGCATGCAAGACACCTTGAATTGAAGCAAATTCTGCAAATATGTAGACAATATTTCATATCAGTAATTATATATGAATACATATTTTTATATGTATGTATATATACATATCAGGGATTATTTTAGCTCTTATACCTTCTCCCCTCTCCATTATACAGGCAGTGAACCCAGTACCAAGCATATGTGTACTCCTCCTTGCTTTTCATGGGTAGTAACTTGTTTAACAATGTAGAAGTAATTTTCTTTAAAATATTGTAAATAAAACTAGTGTCAAGATTAGCTGCATTATTAGTAGGGTTTATTAACATGGTGACTTCATTTGAGGAGTGACACATTCCAGCTGTGGTAGGACCAAGCAGTTTGGCCTGGTTTACACTTACCATACATAAGAAGAAAAAGTAAATTTGTTTCATCTGGTGCCATCTAATTAAATGTAATTAATATTTGTATAACATAATTTTTGGTATTTTGTAAACAAAACTATAACATAATGTAACAGCTAAATACTGAAATTCTGTTTATTTAAATGAGAGAGAAATGCCAAAAAACAAGGATAAATAAGTATTGCAAAAATTAATTCAGGGATAATGTAGGCTCTGCATCACACATTGTTACTTTAAGACAGTGATTTTAACACATACTATATTCCTGAAACTGTGGGTGTTAGGCAGGAATAGTAGGATTAACCTTAATGCTATATGATGTTATGGTGTTTATAACAACATGCTGTCATTAAAATCTACGAATTTATGTCTGATTCAGTGAAGTGCCTAAGTTTGAGGAGACTGAATGTTTAGTATTGAGTGTGGGGGGATATATACATGATGAAATTTTCCTTTTCTTTAATTTCTTCACAGCAATTCCATTTTGTTTCATCTTATGTCACAAATTATTAGTTTTGGTGTTCTGTTAAAGTGTGCCATCATCTCTACTGCTGTGTCATACAACATTAAATCTTCCTCCTCAGTCAGTTTCTGTCTTTATTTCTTTATCTTTTCTGCTGCCTTTGTGTGCATATCCTTTAAAATCATTAACAAATTCTTAGAAGAAAAGCTTTAAAGAAACTCTGCATCATATTTTGAACAAGGTTACTGTGGATGGGGCTGGCCCTACAGATGCAGGCTGGCACACCGCTTCTGAAGAAAACAGCTGTTCTAGACAGCAGATCTGGGTGTATTTGCTACATCCTTCTCTGCAAGGCTGCTCTCTGTGCTACTGTCTGTGTTTTGTGCCCAAACAGCCCAGAGATTTCTCTGAAGACTGGCTTTAGCCATAGATTTACTGCAGGGAGGAGCTTTGAACATCAGAGAGCAGAGAGCAGCAGATCAGAGCCTGCTCCCTGCTCCTTTCCCACAGCCATCTCAGTATCCTCTTTATCACTCCTTCTGCATTTGCGTGGGCTGGGTTATTCATTGCTACTAAAAAGATATTGGTTTGTGTTTAAAAGTCTGCTTCTCATCTCATAAACGGTTGGACCAATGCTTGGGGGAAAGAACAGTTCCATTTCCTTTCCCGGTCACTTTCACCATCAGAAGCAGCAGTCTTCCCACAGATACAGACAAATATCTCTGCAGTTATAAAGTTTTAGGATTGTTATGCTGCAGAGGGAGTAAGTGGAAACCTGTTCGTTAATGCCAGGCACAGCACATCATCAGCATTTTAGGTTTTCGGCAGCTGCTGAGCGTTGCAGCACATATGCATAAATAAGATAGTCATGGTGATTTCTAGGCTAAGTTACCTTGAAATTACTGTTCTGCAAACATAAATAAGTCTCTTGCTGTGAGGGTTTTATTTCAGTAGAGATTGGTGCTGGAATCTGTGGGCCAGACCCTGCTGACAGCCTGCTTTTCCTCATTCTGGGCTGGTGAACATCAGCTCAAGGGTCGCTTAAGCTTCAGTCCGTAAAGACAATTATTTGAAGTCAAGTATGAATATTCTGAAAGATATTTTGAGGTGAAATGTAAAATATATTTAAATTTTCTCCAATTTCCAGCTTCTCAGTGTTGGCTAAAGTCTTTCTGTAAAGCAAGGTGGCCCCCAAAAGCCTTGTCTCTTAGGTCAGTGGCAAGAAGTAAAATTCATCATAAAACTCAGCACTGGGCAATTCCAATCAATTTTTAATTTAAATTTTTGTGCCACATTTGAGATGCTGTGGTCAAGATTGTGGAAATTATCTGAGTTTCAGCACCTTATCATTACTTTTTATACCTTTATTAGAGATGATAGTGGTTAGTAAAAATTGCAGATTACTGTACAAATTTATTTGGGGTAAATTTTTATAAGCTATGAAAGTCCAGCTGATAGTTGCTTCAAACCCATGAACTGATTGCTCTTCCTGCTGCAGAGGTGCCACTGAGATTAGGATAAATGTGCAGGCAGCTGCCCTTTAGACAGGGAGTGCTTCCCTTTAGTAGAAATCTTGCTGCTTTATCACCTTGATCTCACTGGGTTCGATTCCAAGTAGAGTAAGATTCATCTGAATTAACAACCAGACGTTTCTTCTCAGTCTCCAACTACAAAGGGATCCTAACGTTCAGTACTCCCAGTTCATTTTTTTAATCTAATTTAAAGCTGATAATCCCAGCAATAAAGCACCATCTCAGTGGGCAAAGGCCATTGGAATTGCAGGATTTGATGCCAAATGCCAGTGGTCTTGTAAGGGATGCAGTAAAGTACTATGGACCAGATCAAGTATTTCCCAAGCTTCTGACCCTTCCAGTGAAAAGCAAAACTAATCTTCCCCAGTCGGTGTTGCAGTAAAGCAGATTCTAGCGTTCAAGGCTGCCTGAGAGACACCACTGAATACCTAATTGTTGATCTATTTTCTAGCGTAATTCCTGCCTAAGATATTGTGTTGCTGAAAACCTAAGGCCAGATTTTGACATCTTTAATGCATCAAGCAGTGCCTATTATTATGAACAATTCTGCTAAACAAAAAGGTTTCAGGAGCCTCATCTATTAATACTGGATTTTGTCCACGTAAGCGAGAATCTGTGGAAAAAAGCGTACTTCTGCATCCTTAGACATATTATTTAGTTCTCCAAGCTCAATGCAAATACTAGAGATCACCTTTTCCACAATTTAAATTAAATAAAAGTCATTATGCAAAGGTCATAGAACTAAAACTCTGATTTTTCCATTCAAAACTTCTTTTTCCATTCAAACTGGCCTGATTCCTTTCTGTCAAATATATTGATACATTAATTATAACTGATGGAGAAAAAGACCACTTCAAAAACAGTTTAGACAGTTAATTATGCAGCTTCATTCTTTCTCTTTCTTTGAAGTGGTTGGTGATGTAAATTGGTTATCCGCGTCTTCCTGCAAAATGCTGCTTTTACAAACATTCTGGCTTTCCTGTGCAGTGAAAATCCTGTGTATCTGAAAAAGCAGCTGGAAGCTAGAGGAAGAAGCAGTGTCATACAATTTGTCAGAAATTTGTAAGCCACTACCAGGCAGAAGATCACAACTTAGGAGTCTTTTATTCATTGAGTAACTTCCTTCATGGTGAATTATTTCATACTGCAAATGAATAATTTAGTTGATGTTCTGTGACACTGTGCCCCACCTATCTCAACAATCTGTGTGCTAATAAATATGTGTGAGGCCTGAGTTGAAGTACTCTTATATCACCCACAGTGTAAGCATCTCAAGAGCTTTGTATGAGAAGGATAAAGTATCAGTGAAATACAACATCCATCAGAAACTATTGGAATTTGTTGCTGATTACCTCACTGCCATGTTTCTAATCAGACCTTGGATTTTGGTGGAAGGCACCTTCTTGCAGATGAAAAAAGAATTTCTCAACAAAGAGATTATTGAATAGCACATGACTTAGCCATTCATCTGATTAGCCCACTGACAGGAATCATAAGACATTTGAATAAAAATATGGAAGAAAGAAATTTTGAATATGACCTCTTCTTTCCCAGAAATAATCTATTTCTATCTTGCTTTATCAATAGGACACTGTTTCTTTAAGATTAAAAAAAATTGACATGAATTTGGAGAAGACAGGCTTCCTCTTTGGTTTCTGTATCATGTGAATGACTGTCTCCTTGCTGCCACAGTGCTTAAAACCAAAGATAAACATCACAAACTGATGGTGTTGACCCCCAAAGTGGGTTCAGTGCTATTTCCATTAAGTGAAAGTGCATGGACTAGAAGCCCAGCAATCAGTACTTTTCCTTTCTCAACCCTCCCTTATATTTGACAGCAAAATTTCCATCAGACAAATTCTCCACAGATAACCTTCCTGGGGTCAGAGGCAGATTACCAATCTTCTTGTCTTCCTAACCTACTCACAATTGCTCACATTGAGAAAATAAGGTTAGAAACAGGTTTGCATTCAATGCTTCTATTTCCATAGCACTTTTTCCCAGCTATAGAAGCGTGTACAGGAGTTGTCTTGCTTAAAAACTGCTATTGTTATGAAATGTTTCAGGAGCTTGTAATTCTTCTTTGGATCACAGATCTGCTGCAGACATTAGTAGAAAATCTATTTTTTATTTCCAAGAAAAGTTCTGTGTAAATTATTTTTTCAGAGTTCCCATGAAAGCAACAGATATATTAACAAATCCACAGGTGATCAACATACCATATCCTGATGTCATGTGGTAATTTGTTCATACTTTTAGTCATATAAAATGATAGATATTTACAAACATCCCTGTTTGAATATACTGATGTACTGTTATCTCCCAAAAAATTCTCTTCTTTCCCAGAAAGCACTTTGAATTTCAGCATATAAAACCGTGACACTTCTGAACAGATCTATTATGAAACTCTCCCCACAGATCTTTTCACTGAAGCAATGCAGCTTTTCATTTTGCTACTGCTGCTCTATTTCTTAGACCACTTTCCATGTTTGTATGCCTTTAAATTCATCTTCCTCACCTCTGTGCTTTAAAAATAAAAATAAATTTGTAAATGCTCTGATGTCTGGTATGGCTCCAGAGTTATATTATGGTACTGCTGGTTATTATCATTTGCATGAGACTATGCAGGATCCTCTTTCATGCGTGAGGAGTTCAGTTGTGTTGGATGTTTTAGACAAAATACCATAGTACCAAGGAGTTTTCAATCTGGTACCAATCTGGTATTTTTTGTGACTCTTTTTGAAAGTCCTGTAATGTACCCAAAGACTCTTGGTACTCTCCACAGACTGAGAAATTTGGCAGCCTAATAAGACCATACACTTATTATTCACTTATTGCACTTATTATTCACTTATAATGAACTTCATTAAATTTCCTTGGCTATTGGCTTGAAAATTCCTTTTTCATGCAGTACACTCCTGCATTTTCATACAAATTATTCCAGCATGGTATTTATTAAGGCAAAGAGTAGTTTCCCAGGGATTTATAAAATGAAGTCCTGCCTTCAGTAATGTTATCTTAGAAAACCTGCAATGTGAAATATTGACCTAAACTGGAAGCACTGATTTTTACAAGGCAATGCTTTTTTCCCCTCCTACTTTTTTCATTACAGGACAGGAAAGATTTGGAAACATGACCAGGGTGTATTACAGAGAGGCCATGGGGGCATTTATTGTCTTTGATGTTACAAGACCTGCAACATTTGAAGCAGTGACAAAATGGAAAGAGGATTTGGACTCTAAGTTGGTTCTTCCAAATGGCAAACCTGTGCCAGCAGTCCTATTAGCAAACAAATGTGACCAGGGAATAGATGTTCTTATGAACAACGGCATCAAGATGGATCAGTTCTGCAAAGAGAATGGGTTTGTGGGCTGGTTTGAAACATCGGCCAAGGTAATGTTTCCATTTCTTTTCAAACATTTATAAGGACAGAGAAATCAGCTCCTCTCTAATTTGGTCTAAATGTGCACCTCGAAAAGTTCCTCTCTTGGTGGTATTGATTAAAAGTAGATTTGTAAATATATAGTATGCATTTCTATTTCTTTTAGGTCTTTTATTGTAACATTCTGAAATGCAGCTGCTGTGATATGATAGGCCTGCACTAAAGCATGTATCTGGTCAACAGGGTACTGCACAATAGACTGGGGAGGAGGATGACCTTAGGCAAGACATAAAAGATACTTCTTGTGAATGATATGAGGATGTTTTCATCATTCTTAACACTGAATGTTATCTCTAAATATTTATATAACCACTTTGCCTGAGAAATGCTGATTTGAGACAATAGCTCCATTGCCTTAGATTCCAGAATAAAGTCACTCTATTGTAGTGCTTGTACAATGTTCATTGTTATAAGTGCTCATTCTCAATAGCCTTCTCAAAAAAATCACCTATCTGGGGAGGAAGGAAATATCAATGGTCAAAGTGCTGTATGAGCTGCTCTGAGATTCAATTCTTTGCCTTGGTGCAGATTTCCTGAGTGAATAGTGAGACAAAAATCAGAAGGGGCATCAGATTTTCAAATTACAAAGGCTGAAAGTACATTGGTACTGTAGATCAATTTGGGATGTCTCAGATAATTTCAGTTCATGCAGAACTTGGAGAGCTGGCATGTGAAATATTGATTTGAACACAACAATTCAGTGGATATTGTGCTGGTTGTATCCTCATATTAGGAAAGCTCGTGTCATCATTGACAGCTCTGGGGAACTTTTGGATGTTTGAAATGTAATAGTTTGGTTCTGATTTAACCTAGATTTCTAGTAGTCTGGAAGCCAAAATTCTACACTTTGGCTTCCAGACTACTAAATGCATTGTTTAATTCCTTTTAACCACTTTATGTAAGGTACTTGAGAACTTTTAGGGTTTATATTTGTGTTTTATTTTTCTGGTCTTGGCACCTTTAAGCATTAATATTTAAAAGATGTTCTATTAGTAATCAGAAGAAGTAACAGCAGGGGAATAGCAGCATATCCCAGACTGCTTTAAGCATTGCATGAACTCTGGGCTGAGATTGCAGCTTTTCAGTACTTAAGGGGGCTTATAACAAAGATGGGGACAAATGTGTCATGAGAGCCTGTTGTCCTAGGACAAGGGGTAGTGATTTTAAACTAAAAGAAGGTAGATTTACACTTGAGATAATTTTTTTTTTTCTGACAAGGATGGCAAAACACTGGAACTAGTCTCCCAGACATGGTGGATGCTCCAACCCTGGAAACATTCAAGGCTAGATTGGATTTGGTTCTGAGCAACCCAGTCTAGCTGAGGATATCCCTGCTCTGGCAGGCGAGTTATACAAGATGACTTGAAGAGGTCCCTTCCAACCCAAATCATGCTATGATTCTATGTCTTTGTAATTAATGGCTTTGCTTCTCTACTGAATGGGTCTCAAATCCAGCCACTGTTTTTTAATATGCCATTTATAGGGAGAAATGTTGGTCTAGGTAAGTGTGTAAACTATCTTGCTCCACAACAGGGTACTTCCTATTCCTTCATGTGCAGCACCTGCTTTGTATTTAGGTCTGTGGTTCACCTGCTGATTTGTGTTGGGTGAGGCCAAGAGAATCCAGTGTTCCTCTTTATGATAAACTACATTTTACTATGAAAATGGAATCTATACCATGCATTCTATACATCAGTCTCCAGCAAGCACATGTCCACCACTCAAAAAGGACAACCACATTTATTGTGCTAAGAACCATTGCATGTCATGAGAGAAAATGAATATGCAAATTATTTCAAAGATCACAGAGAGGTTTGATGATGATGATGGAGCCAGTCTGGGGCAGAACTATGGAAGTATAAAAGATGAATGGAGAACAATTTTTTAAAGTCAAAACAGAGGACATTTTTCCAAGTTTCTAAGCTGCATAGAATTAAGAATTTCTGTTATTTTAGACATGGTAAATATCCAGATTCTTCTTATGTTATTTAACTCCAAAACCCAAGCAGTCCCCACATTGACAATGCAATCATGTAAGAACAGGGGAAAAAATCCAGCTATGACAAGACCTTCTTTCAAAAACCACTCTGAAGGGAATTATGAGAGTTGAGGGCACACAGCTGTTAGCAGACTATTCTCTGCTTCTATACACCAGAGGCAAGGACCTGTTGTTCTGCAATCCACACACCTGATTTCCACCCAGAATTGGAGGCTTCTGACTTTAAAATTATGCAGAGAGTCATTCCAGTAAAGATGGTAGAATCACAACATTTAAACTAAATTAGATCAAAACAATTCCCCCCCTTCATCTAAGTTCTAAATGAAACCTTACATTTCCTTTTCTAAACAAAAGTTAATATTACTACTATTTTAGAATTCTGGATATTGTAGATACCTGTTATTCTTTCAGCCTAGGGCATCATAAGTAATTGAACTTGGCTCCAAGAAAAGAAAATTAACTCAGTTTGCTACAGAGAATAGGAACTCTTCTGAAGCAGAATAGCATGGACAAAGGAGTCATAATGTTGCAGCTATCAGTTTTAGCAGTTCAAATAAGTAATAACTCTCTTTTTGTGGTATCCTGGAATAATTAGATCTCCAGAGGTTTTCTGGAGATGTGCTTGGAAATGTTAAAGCCTTGAGAGCAAACTAAATATGATTTATGCATTTTGGAAAAACAAAGGTGATTACTTATAAAAAGAACATCTTTTTGTTCTGGTTACCTTGCAGAAGGTAGCTTGCTATATATGTACCTACTATATTTCAAGCTGTCAATGGTTTTAAGCTTTTGTCTGTAGTATTGGAAGATTACACCAAAAAAAAAAAAAAAAAAAAAAAATCCCTGTATAGCCTGGTGCTATTTTTGTAAGTTAACAGCTCCAATATAAAATATTTGAGCCACCTAATGCAGTCTTATGTATTTGCTTTTTACATTAATCTGAAGGAAATAACCCTCTTTTAATCATCTCCCTACAAAGAGAGAAGGGTTTTTTTTTGGATAGCTTTCCTTGTGAGAAGGGCCTTATTGGGCAATACCACCTCACAGCACAGTCACAAGTTACACTGTTGTCATATATCCGGTGGTGAGCCTGGTCTCTTTTATATCTGCATATTTACTTCACCCATATTGATTGCAGTCTAAGAGGTACATCCCCAGATAGTGACCAAATAACCCTTAATAGTGAATTCTTTAATAAATTTCATGACCACAACTATTGCAAAAGATTCATTCTTTTAAAGGAAAGAAATTTCTTCTTCCTGTCACACATTTAATTATCCACAACATGGCCAGAGCAGCTGAGAGCTCCACTCACATTCCAAGCCTTTAAACTGTTTTCACCACCATGCCTAATTCAAAGAGGTGAGCTTTTGACTTGGATTAGAAAAGGAGCAATTTCAAGCTTATTATCACTTCATATTGAAAATGGAACTTGTGTAACAAAATAGACAAGTCAGGCAAAACTAAGTTATTCAGAAATAACTTGAAATACCTTACAACTGGCCATGGTTGTGCTGTTATTATGCCTGAGTTCCTCTTTTCCCTGCTGTAATTCTGCTGTCAGCAATAGAGAGTAAGATGAAAAGACATTCATGTTTTGTCCAAATTGCCCAGAAAGGCTGGTAGCTGTGCTTTTCAGATCTTTACAAAACTAGGTTAAGCACACTGCTCCTTGTCTCCTGAGCACCATGACCTAGAGACTGATGAGCACTCTGAGTCTCTGGGCTATTTGGATACATCCTATTTGGACCAGGACAGTGTTATAGTTCTGCCTCTAAGAAATGTAGATAGTGTCTTTATTCAGCTTTTGTTTGACAGGCTGTCCAAGGTATGTCACCATAGATTAAGAATGAGTTGTGTTGGAAGAGATCTTAAAAATCACCTAGTTCCAACTCCCTACAGGGCCCAAATGCTGGACCAGCAATCAAAAGTCCTCTTTGCCATTGCTATGTTACCTTCAGAAAGTCATTCTCTCCTCTGTTCCAGCCTCTCTTTCAAAAAGCAAGGATATTAATTCTTCCTGAATTAATGAATCTTACCAGGGAATTCTGTGAATAATCCAAGCTCTACTAGCCTTCTTTACCCACAGATTCTTCTGTTCTTTTGACTGAGCAATTATTATGACAGATGTAAAAAGCAAGCTATGCAGTAGATTTGCAGAGGAAGTGGATAAGCATTTCTGATTTCCATAAAGAAAAACAAGGTTTGGACATGTATTTGAATTAGGCTGACACTCTAAACTAATCTGCTGATCTGGTAACTTAAATCCAAGCAATCTATTTGAGACTGCCAGACCCAGTTAGGGATGTGTGGCTCCCTAGATTGTCTTTTTCATTCACTTAAAAAGCATCTTACCAATCTCACAGTACAGTTTTAGAAAATATTTCAGATTCTGCCATAAAGCAAGAAGTAAAGCTGACACTTAAGGCAGGAAATTTCATTTCAGATGTACAATCACTCTGTGCAGAATCCTCTGCAGAGTTTGTTTCCTGCAATTAAAAGAAGTCAATTCAGATTATCCTATGGGTATTAGAGCTGTCATGTAGCTCTCTGGATCACTTTTATGAAATGCATTATTTAGTGTGGTTCCAAATTTGAAAATTCAGAGAAACACAAAATTGTTAAAATCAGAAAGTCATTAAGTGAAGTAATTTTGTGGCAGGATATTCAAACAGCTGTAAGAATTCAATCACAGAAATTATCTTGTTTTCAGAGTTGCAGTCACTGCAGTTCACATCCATGAATTTCATGTTCATGCATCCAGATGTCTTTTAACTTGTATGGCTGCATTTTCCTAGAAACACCACTGCAGGAGTACAGCACACCATCTTAATAAGGCTCTGTTCCCAGCAGTTTCCAGGGAGTTCTGCTAAGGGAGCATGTGGGGCCATTCCCTCAGAGTGCTAGCTCAAGAGGAGTGCAGGTTAAAATTTCTTTCAGGTAATCTCCTTG